TGGGATTATTATTGATAAAAAACATTGAAGCCATGTTGGTGAGACTTGTTGGTGAGGTCTGCAAAAGAGCTGCAAGGCAGATGTGTTTTATGTTCCAGGGTTAAAACGGAATAGCTATTTTGCTATAACAGAAAACGCGAAGGAACAAAGATCCGAATCCGAAAGGTGTTGAAAAGCATATAGATATATTCACATTTCCTATATTGAAAGTGATGCTTAAGTAAAGTCTTGACGATTTAAGATAGATCACTTTGAACCAGACTATTTTACGCCTACTGCGACAGAACTACTTCATTGTGGCGACACAAATCTAATTGCAAAACACATTTTTTTGGTTGATTGTCTTTGAACATAGCAAATTTAAAACTGCACATCGGTTTGGGTGTCAACGACAAGAAACAATGCGCAGATTGCTGCCCTTGGTGATACAAGAATCGCTTAAAATAATGTACCTCAGTTTTTACTTTTATCCATTTCCAGTCGCAAATAGACCCGTCCTTCCTTACCAGCTCATGCTCAATTCGCCAAACCTGCTTAGATTTTCGTAAGATTGCTTTGAAGCTCATTAGTCTGGTTCGCCGTATGATAAAAATCTGGTATTTTTTTAGAAAATGTGTCTTACAAGTGGTTTGCTGTTTGGCAACCTCGCTGGTGAGGTTTCAGGCAAGAACCGATCAAATGCTACTTATGTATCTTGCAAGTGCAGTGACAGGTGTGATGGAAAGTCATGAAGAGCAAATAGCCGATTGCATCGGACTTGTAGACAAAATGACTCGATTTCATATGAAATGATCGGTTTTTGGCGAAAAATGAGTCGAAGACAAAACTCGAAAACGTGACTCCCCTTGGCAAGTGATGAATATCGAAAAAATTAAGAAAAGGACCAAGCTTCATGATCTTGATAAATTTTTGTTGTCAGATGCATTGATATCGTGATAGGATTTAGCTTGCGGTCGTTGAACAAATGCATCCTAATTGTCTTGGACGAACGTGACGCATTAAAACTTTAACACTGAGTACCAAGAAATTTTGAGAAATGCGTCGTCTAAATTCCAATGCTCCTTACAAAGTTGTCAACGAAGATCAAAAGGAAAACTTGTAGCGTCGCGGCACTTATTTAAGTTATGTCCGTCCTCGTTTCAGCAAATGATAATTTATGGCTCAGCCAAACTCCAGTTCATGCTTTTTAAAATAATTGTGTTTTGGAAGGATTAGCAATTGTAAACTTTTCCAAGTTTGCAAACAGTCAGTGATAGACAGGGAAACGTTTGCAGCCTTACTGTAAGTGTTCGATAGATAACGATATGCTTATTTCGATATGCGAACCCCAATCTGACTTTCTTAAGGGAAATCTACCAAATTTGAGTTATGAATTAAGTCAACTGCAAAATTTGATTTGCTGAGTATTTTGTAATTTGTTTCCCTTCATAAGCGCACTTTATCTCAATGTAGATGGTTCTGTATAGACGCAACCTTTGGGTCTTCGAAACTTGTAACATTTGACGAAAATTTTCCATCACACTTACCTTTTGAAGATAAGCATATGCTTATATCATATCCTTTGTCGTAACGCATACCATCAAAAAAAAAAAATAAATAAAAAAATAAATGTAAATTTTGGTGTTTTTAAGCCTAGCGCTCTAGCTTCAGAACCTTACTAAGGCAGAAGTGATTCTTTCATTACCTAATGTTTGGAATCGAAATTGCGGTTACAAAACGTTTCTTTAAAAATAAAGAAAATAAACATACCTAATACTTGCCTAAGGGCAGAAAAAATAATCCTCCCTCGTGCCCTGAAACATCTAGAAAATTTTCTATAGTGTTTCTTTCAGTTATCAGTTTTTTTTTTCCACAAGCTATTTATAATTAAGTAAAGTACATTTTGCAATAACACTACAGTTACTTAACTGCTTTTCCGTTTTCCTTTTCACTTTGTCACCTAAAATGCGTTCTGAATGCTAATTGCAGGATAACCAATCAGTGATACACCTACAAAATGTTTATCATGCGCATAAAAGTGGCCGGAAAAGGAGGAAAAGTAGCGACTTCTCCACAAGATGGCCACCTGCGGTAGACATGATACTGTAGAATACAAAATGAGGATTCTTCTGAAGACTATTATGTCTACCGTTCACTCTCTCCCCCTTGTACTGAAAACCTTTTTAGTTTCAAACATCTATGTCAACCTTAATTTGTTTAGATTTTAAAAGACTGAGTATTTCACAAGGATTCATTTCAGACCTTTAATATAAAATTTAAAGTTGAGCAAAAATTTTGCCTCAAATCGAAAAAAAAAGCAATTGATAATAATTAAGCTTTTTTTCCGAAAAAAGGATTCGAAGGAGCAAACGAACAAAATCTATCAGAGCTCAGTACGTGACAACTGCATCGAAACGAAGCTTTCATTTTTTTCTGTCATTTGGGTTTGTTTTTCTTTTCTGCAGAATTTGATCTTTTTTTTTTTTAACTTAAGCTTGCTGATCTAATTGAGTGCCCGTCTGAACGGCACTTGTCATGGATTAGTTATCGAAACAGATGAGGAAAGCACCATCTGTGGAATAATACTACTTATTCCTATTCCCGAACGTACTTTCCTTTTAAACGGGAAAAAATTTTGAAGTCTTAGTAAGTTAGGTCACCGCTGTAGACATAACTAATTTAAGGTCTACAGTCAGTTAAGTTCGCGGCCTTTCATTAGCATCATCAAACGTTATGTTGTTATGGACGGTGATGATTTTGCAACGCTTGTTTGGCAAATAGAAGGATTTTCGAGTCAAAGTAGAGAAAAAAAAATACTCTGTTTTATCAAGAACTTGAGATAAAATACAGTGAAACATAAATTTAGATATTTGCCTCAAGAGGACATTTTTAGCTTTCGTCGCAAATTACAGACAGAGTTGGCGATTTTAAAATGTATTGATTTCTCCTTTTTCTATGAAGGTAAGTTACATCTCAGCGATAAGACTTATTTACACAATGGGAACCAATAATAAAAAGGTTTGAATGATGGAAATCCATTTCCACTGACAGTCTATTATAGAGTAACTTCAAGTTACCATAGTGAGGCAGCAGTCTAAATGATAACAATCGTTTTGTATAAAAATTAAAAAAAATAAAATAATAATAATTTCTACCTTAACATCTTTGCCAAAGTGACTTTGATGATTCCCGCTGAGTTGTGTAAGTTCTGAGTTTCCCACTCGAAAATGAATTGTAGTATTTCCTAAAAAATTGATGGGAGCTATAGTATCGCGTGACTAAAGACAACATTTAGAAGAGGAGGGAGGAGTTTAATTCTAGATAGCAAGACAATTTGATCCGATTTAGAGAAACTTTCATTCAGCGTGTAAATTGAAGCTGTTGTTATAGTTGAAGTTAGGATATTTTCAACTCGAAAGATCCAGTTTCCAACTGGAGCTTTAACTGGAAGGGCTAGACTTGACTCTATTACCACAAATTTTCTCTCAAAACTACCAGCACATTACTTTCAGATGTTGAAGCTGGTGTTCACATCGAAATATTACATGTCATTTTCATTTCATTCTTGAATAATAAGTGCATACATCTGGATGCGCCTTTGACAGTGAAGAAACCACTCTCTCCTCCAACTTGAAGGGCTATAGCTGACTATTTGACAAAAGATGTTATTTCAAAACTACTGAGAAATGAAAAAAAATGTAGTATCTCGTGTAGCTGTTGACATAGATGTCCAAGTTATAAATCTATCTCGAGTTTTCTTCAACTTGTTTTACAATGAAAAGCGTCAGTGCCGGGGGAAGTAGATTTTCTTCTGCGAATTTTTTTTCATACGAAGATGAGTCTACATCATGTTCGATCAGTTGGATGTAAGCCGTTGGATTTAAATATCAGTCTACAAGTTTCTGGCATTTCTGACCAATAAAACTTCGCTACAGCGATTAGGGAAATTACATTTTGTTGAGATGTGATGAGTTTAGGATATGTAAACTTACGACTACGAGGAAAAGGTACTCAAGAACGTTTCGTGCGGAAATGCACCTCTCAGAGGCTTAAAACGTTGACCTATTGTGAAGTATTCCAACCACAAATATAAAAAAAAAAAATGAGGGAAGGATGCGCGTTTTACCGCAAAGATCAAGCGAATTTTACCCGCTAAACCTTAACAGATAACTTGATATTGGGTTGGGCGTGAACTGTTGACAATTTTAACGCGTCATATGCCGTTACATGGAAATAGAATGTCCTTGATTTAGAACGCTGAACTATGCAAAATATAAACATTTAAACTTAAGATGAATAAGGGAGTCCACCTTTTTTTTCCTTCCTTTAAACATCACTATCATTCTCTTAAAGGTAAGCCAAGGTTTACGTCGGCAGAATCCATGCGATCGACAATTTTCGACATATTATGAAACATTAACATCTTGGCGGTTTCTTTCGTAATCTAACTGCGTCACATAGAATTCCAGTTTCAGCACACAACGCGTGACGCTTTTATGAATGAATTCTGAACTTCTCTGTCTTGTTTGGAGCTAAAAAATTTCCCTTTCTGCCACTCCTGCTATGGTGGTCTCTGAACTCGGCCAACGAAGAGCTCAAGGGAAAACGTGACCAGTTTGACAACCGCTGACAGGTTATGTTGCAATTAACCAGCAATGCGATAAGCTTGGGTACTTAACGTACCTTTGTGTGTATTTCAAGGCCACAACCATAGATATTTTTGTTTCTCCTTCCTTAGCTGAGGATATAGACAGGATTGAAATTTATCAACCCATCCTGCTTTTTGATGTTGAGAAAATGTATCTTATTTGCTTTATGATATATGTTCTACTTACATATGATTAATCAAATATTTTGAGAGTCAAAATCACGCAAAACAGCAATATTAAATCAAAAGTGAAAGTGATGATTAGTTTCTATGAGAGGCAAGCGAAGTCTCTCTTCGAGCTATCAAAACTTTAGGAAATGTATGATGATCCTCAAAAAACGGAAGCTTTGACAAGGCTTAATATTCAAGGCTTTATTTCGTGATCGGATATTCATTCTTTCCAAAGCAAGAAAAACTAATCTCTTACAATATAGTATGACGACAAAAGATGTGAGTCGTACGTTTTTTATTCTGGTGGCGGCGGAGGTAAAGGTGGTGGATCAACATTTCCAGAAGGCTGTGGGGGCAGCGGAGGAACCGTATTGCCTCCTGGGCTTTGTTGAGTACTTTGTGGGAGAGGTGGAGAAGTTGTTGGGGGTGGGGGAAGAATTGAAGGGACGGGTGGAAGACTTGGTGGGAGAGGTGAAAGACTTGGTAATGGAGGCGGAAGACTTGGAGGGGGAGGAGGAAGACTGGGTGGGAGAGGCGGAAGACTTGGAGGGAGAGGTGGAAGGCTCGGCGGGAGACTTGATGGGATGGGTGGAAGACTAGGTGGTAGGGTGGGAATAGGTGTTGACACATCATCTCCACCCTCACCTCCTCCAATAGTACTGGTTAAGAAGTTGATCCACGGGAGATACTTCTTGATGTTAGCATAGACCCCATACTTCAAAGCCCTGGCACATCCTTTTCCCCAGGAGGTTACTCCAATCTGTACCCACTGCCGACGATTTACAGGATTCTTGCATACAAGTGGTCCTCCAGAATCACCTTGACAGCTGTCAACGCCTCCTTGACGCAACCCGGCACAGATCATGTTCTCAGTGATTTTCTCCCCATATGATTGGTTATGACGACAAGCCTGGCGGTCTACTATTGGTACCTTGGCCTGCATGAGTACGGGCGAAGGAGCGCCATCTTCCTGAGTAGTACCCCAACCACTAATCATACATTTTGTACTTGGTGGAAACTTATACTCTGGTTCAGACAAACAGATAGTGTTTACGCGACCAGTGAGATTAGCAGGTCGGTCGAGTCGTATTAAGGCCAGATCATTGTCCGTCGTATGATGATCCCAATCTGGATGGATGTAAATGTGATCGATTGCAAAATCCTGCTCGAATCCCTCCTTTTTATTCAAGTCGTGTTCTCCTGTGAGAGACATGGAAACCTCGTTACCACTACTACTAATAGCAAAAATCACTAGGAGATTTCGGTATGAAAATCGTCCAACAGGTTAAACGATATCATAACTCAGCGGGTGGTGGGCAAAGAGTAGAGCGCGAATTGCTGCATGATGTACATGGAAACGAAAAGTCAAACTGGCGCACATGGCTTATTTACGCCACTTACAGGGCCAAGCAACAATTAGCCGTTGCCAAAAATAAACGAATAAAATATAGAGACGAAGGTTTTTAAGTAGTTTCACCAACCAAGTCTAATAAACATCATTTTCTTGTTTGCAGTGATATCAAAGCAATGTGCCGCCGTTAGGACCCATTCGGGGTCCACCAGAGATCCACCACAAAACTGCTTTCCCTTGTCGGACCCCAACGCCCAGATCATGGCAGCTTGCCAGGGCCACGCACCAGGCTTGGCGACAATACCGCCGACAATCCTTGTTCCTGTCTTACTGGTTCCACACAATTGCAGACCTGTTTAGAGGGCATTTTGGATTAAAATTCTGAAGAGCGGACTCTCTCCACCCGTGAGTGCCCTCAAACCTCTACTGAAGCCTTATTAAATGCTGAGAAGGCTGAGGCGGGAGGGGGTGAGGGGCAGGGTGGACATGTAAAATGGACTAGCATCCCTCTAGAAGGAAAGGCAATACTCTTTGTGACTTTAAACTACAGCAACATGGATAAGCACCGGATGAATTTGCCACTGACTCGTGTTTTTTTTTACTTCATTGAAATCAGCCCAATAGATTTAAAGCTACCCCAAAGACAACTCAAAAGCGAAGAGTTAGCAAGAGAGCCTACAGCTTCTGTGAAAGAAAATTATGTAAGTTAATTACATATAATAATAAAACAAACCTGTATTTCCACCTAGGTGCTTACTGGTCCAAGACACTTGGAAACCCTTTCCCGTGTCTGATTCGTCCGAGGCAAGTTTTATATACAATGAGGTTCCTTGCGCATACACTTTAGCAGGAAGGCTAGAACCACAGTAACGGCCTGGAAATATAGAACACTTTGGTACGGGAAATAAATTCCAATTGCAGATTTTAACAGTGAATCGAAAAAGAAAAAAAAAAGGGATGAATTCGTTCTTCATTTTGGTTACAGACACGTAAATGGAAATATTAATCATACATACTTACAGAAACATGTGTTCGGGGAAAGGGGAAAGTTTGGGGAAAGTTGGTCTATAAATAGCTATGTGCTTAACCATGGATAATTTCAAACGCGCACAGCAATGTTTATCACACTTATACAAACCGATCAAATTCGAAGAGGCCTTGTCACCATCCCTGATCTCTACATGGTCGTATTTGCATTTTGAACTTTCTTCCATATCAAACTTGTTAAACGTCAAAGTTAGAGAGTGAGTGACGGGTACAGTTATCACCCACTCGCATTCGATATTGGTGGGGTATTGATTGGGATATCCAGGAGTCTGGAAACTACCGTTCTCGTCAGTGAATGTAGCCCCGCACTCTTTGGATAAAAAACAAAAAAAAACCATCAAAATGAAATCTTCTCACTTCCAGTCAAGTCTTCAATGACGACTGAGAGTACCCTTTTGAAAAATTAAAAGAACCTGCTTCTTGTAATCTCTGCTAGCTTTCCATCTTATGGAACTAAGATTTGAGAAAAACCGAAACGGGGATTATCCTCTGAGGGATTATTTTATGTGGAATAAACAATGTACCATGATGTGACTTTCAGGTGAGTTTCAAGTAAATTTCAAAACAGACGAGAAGATTGATATCAAGTTTTCCTCACAAGGTTGGTCACGCGTAGATAAACGTGCGGAAGACCAAACATGTTCAAACTGCACCGAACGAACACTGTCAAGATACTTAAAATTCACAAAGGTAAAGAGAAAGATAAGACAACAGCACCATGATGAAAGACTATGAAAGGGAGTGTTTCTTTTGTCTGCGTTGTCGTTAACTAGTCTTAGACGATAACAGCAGCCAATTGATATTATGTATGACAAGCAATGGTTACAATTTCAACAATGGGCTCACTCATGTTGTTAGCGACTGCCCGCCAAACTGCCTGGAAACCTTTCCCTGTATCAGCCTCATCCGATTTCAGAGTAATGTGCAATGATTTTCCAGAAGAGCGAACAAGTGAAGGAGTTGTCGAGCCACAGAATGTTCCCAGTTCGGCTGACTTGGACTACAAAGAGTAAAATTGAGGAAAATCTTCATCACATGCTCTTTTGATGTTCAAAACAACGTTATTGGTAAATTAAGAGATTCAAAGTCTCGGAGACAGTAAATATCTACTCCCGCTGAACGCAGCGCAAATTAAACATGTAAACACGTTTCAATACATTATTTATCGATATATTTACCGTAGATCCATCCAGAATCTCCAAACTGTCATATTTACACTTTTTGCTGTACTCTATATCAAGAGACTTAAACTCTAGTTCAATCACTTGTGACGGCTTAACTGAAATAACCCAGACGCATGTTACGTCAGTGGGGTAAGGTCCCGGATAATTGGGTGACGTCACTGAACCATTGGAGCCCGTCAACTGTTTACCGCAATCTGGAGGTAAATAAAATGATGTCACCCAAATCATTCACCTAAAGGAGTGTAAACCTTGTGCAACCTGTTCACAACTCCAAAACAATTTAAGTTTTGCGCGTAAAGATAAAGTATCATTATCATGACTTTAAAAACTTTTGGACCACGAGCATGCGTTTTCACCGAGTTTTGCTACCCTTGAAAAGTTATTACCGATGCGTATTTATTCTCCCCTCCCCCCTTCTTCCCCTCCCCCTTCCCCCCGTCTAGACCAGTATACGGTAACCAAACCAGTCTCGTCGGCGTAGCTGGTTGTTTTTGTCTTCGCGTTGACGTATGATGGGGCCGCAAAAAGCCACAAAAAGTTAGGATCACAGAAACTGGAGAATCCGTGCGATTTGAAGCTCCACTGTTTTATTTTACTCAGTTCGACTGCCTATATGTATTAAGTGTGTCAAGCGGTAAAGAGAAACTTGCAAAACTCGCACACAATTTTTTCCTGAAAGGTAAAAGGATCTGCTGCAACTAGTTTGATAAATTATAATAAGTCTGAATTTTAGAAACTCTCTACGGAGGCCAATTTACATTTCCAGCTCAGTTCATAAAACCAAGTTGTCAGATGTCAATGCCTCTTCTAGAATGATACAGTTAAAGACAATCACAATGTACTTCTATATTGCTTGCTTATATCAGTTTTAGATAAAACTGAATGCCTTGTTGTTTGTATTTAATACTGAAGCAGGTTCAAATGTGATTTCAGCTGTGCATATGTGATGAGTTATGTGTTACTGGTGTTGTAGAAGATGTCGTGGCGTAATTATTATTGACTCAAAGTTATTTAAAGTATACAGTTGTTCAAACAAGCTATTAAACATTAACGATACCTGCTTTCTTCTGCTTTGGTGCTCTATGAACTCTCACCAATATATCCTAAAAAAGATCAAACAAGTCTAGGATATTTTACTTAAATGTTGGAAAATTTAAACGGCAAATTTTGCTAAATTTACGCTCTAAATCATTCTATAATGAGATTTGATCTTTTTTTAAACCATTAACTACTCAAACCTAGTTCTTGGATATTTGAGGCCAAGCACGGAACAAACCTTTCAACTGTTTTGAACAATCTATTCTCGGTTAGATGTGTTATGAATGTGATTTCACCCTATTATATCTGATGCTTTCCCTTTTTTCTGTGAAAGGTAAGGTAACCGTGCTTCTGAGAAAGTAATCGCCCAACGCAGAGTTGTAACTTAAGCTGATTTTGTAGTTAAGGGATTTGACCCGATAATCCCAATTTCACTTTCTGTGATCAAAGATAAACTCAGTAAATACGCGGCATAAAGCTTGCGAAGAGGATATTGCTGATGAGCTCTACGGTATGCAAGCCATCAGATCTCCATTTTCATTCTCAACACAGTTACAAATTGAAATCTAACTCTATCTTTAATGACAAGCCATCGTTATCAGCAATACAATTTCGATTAGTTTTTGATTCTATCACCAACTAACCTTTTCTTTCCTCTGATAAGGCTTGCCCTGAACAGTGAAGGAGGCACCCAGAATAAACATCGGTAGCAACATAAAAGGCAGCATTTCGCGCCGTTATCGAGTTATGTCAAAACTCGCTCAATTTCTATAAGTCGAATTAATGTTTGTGGTTTCTGCCTCTCTGCCTTTGCAGTAGTTAATTGTGTCGTTTGTCAGTTATCGCTCTATATATTGTTTCTAAAAAGGGAATTGAAGTCTTTTATTGACCCAGGTGGACATATGAGTAAATAAGCTACCGAGGAAGGGAATAAAATGTACCGTATCTATCTCCGTAATATTTCACTTTTATGACTTACGAAATAATAAAAAGATTCTGACTACACTAACACAAGACATTTAATGTGGAAAGTATATTTTGGATGAGTCAGTCGGTCTCAGTACTTAGTATACGCATCCTGATCTAATCTCAATATGCGTACAGTGAAATTAGGGGTTCTTCAAGCATAATTATCCTGTGCTACGCCAGATACGAAAAACCACCCAAAAAAACTGTGTATAGGTGGCAAAAAAATATGTGGAAACGTATTCCTCATCTAATGCAGCAGTACAATACCCCGAGAAAAGTGTTCACTAACCTGGTTACACTACTAATCACAAAGAAAAAATAAAAAATTGCAATGATATTCTTCACGGAGTTGGAAAACGAAAGAAAGAAAAAGAAGAAAGTGGTCAAACGTGAAGCTGATCGACCTGTCTGGATCAATATCAGTATCTGGGCAACTGCCAACCTACCCCTCCCCTAACCCAATATTAACCCTAACTTTTTAGGTTAGGGGAGGGGTAGTTGGGCAGTTGCTCAGATACTGATATTGATATTGATCCGAATGTCTGATTTTTCTCGCGAAAAGTAGTTCTCTCGTAGTTCAAGAATACATTCGTTCCCATTTTTTTTTATCATTGTTGACATTTTTGCCATAATCAGGTGTTCTAGCTAAGAGTTAGTAGAATTGCAGTTTTCCTCCAGGTTTTAGTCAGCTTTCCTCGTGAGAGTTATGGAAAATTCAGCGTTATAGTAATACTATTCAAACTCACCTGCTTGCCGAAGCATCTTCTTAACAGGCAGTCTAGTCTCGTGCCCAAACCTTCAATTCTACGATCACTTACAATTACACGGTAGGATCTGAATGCGAGGTTACAGACAATCCTAGCTTCTCCGTTGCAAGATCATTATCAAACACCGAAAATAATAGAAAACTATAATCATTGCAAGTCTTACAGAGACTTTTTCAACTTTCGAAGAAAAAACAAAGCTTTTCAACTTTTATCTGCCTGCAAACTTGAAAGTTAGCGGGGAGCTTCGAGCTCAGCCCGTATTGTGCGCGAGTTGCTATATTTAACATATATGTGTTTACAATCCTGTTATAAGAATGCTAATTCTTACCTCGCAGGTGCACACACCGGCGACATTGACGCTCACAGTCACCCACACACTTCGTCATTCAAATATATCTGCGTGACTTTCTACAGGAGGTCAGCAGGTTGCTGAGCTACTGAGTGAGCCATCAACTTCAAGTTGAAAACCACCTATAAACCACCATGGCGAATTAAAAAAAGGGCTGAGTCGCCATGGTCTCGAGTGTTAGCCGTTGATGGGACCAAATAGCTCCGTGACAAAGGGTTGACCGGCTTAAAACGATAGCATTTCGAATCTCACCGTAACGATTTATCTGCCTTTATCAACTGCTTGTTAATAATAAAAAACTGTCTCGCTCGCCTACCAACGCAGGACAACAGTTCCTTTAAAAACAATTGATCCGCGTATTTCGTCACGTTTCGCAGCAACTTGAAAAATTTAGCTCAGATTTTCAACTTTATAATTTTCATTCCTTTTCTGTCCTTCGCATCCTTAATCAATCTTTTTGCTCCCTTTGATCTAGGTGCATTTCTTAAGTGTTTCTCTTCTGTATCATACCAAAATTATATACTTCTTCTAAATTGATGACCTTTTTAGCTCCATAGAGATTCCCCCAAAATACTTCAAACCCATTTTCTATTTAGTGTCGAAGCGCCCGAACCAAAATGTTCCCCAAGCCCAAGAAAATTTAACATTATCATTATCCAACAATAACTTAAAAGTAGAAATAAGTAAACTACTTGAAGCGCACAGGAAAATACAAGTGAACAAGTCGCAATTTGTTTTAGGTCCGCTTCTAATTGGTTTAAGGGGTGGCTGACTTTTGACCGATTGCAAGGCAACTCAAATTACCTCAGGAAATTAAGGTAAAGGGATGCAAATAATTTGCCTTTATCATCGCGCCCATCGCTGGGGAAGAGAAATCGGACGGGTGTGTCTTTTATATCGGTCGTTTATTGTAGCCAGCGATTGATTTCTTTTTAAACAAAATGTTTCATATGGATTGAGATGCCTACATGCCTAGATCTACACAACTGACCGGGTAGTTCAACATGCCGTAAATTATGAACAATGATGACACTTTGATGGGCCATTTCAGGCTTGCTATAATCAAATGCAACTCAGTGCGAGTATTAATGGGGCATTGAAAAATTATACAACAGCGACATTAGTTGGTGAGAACAAGTAACTACGTAAACTTGAGTTGAATGCTTTCTTCATATCTTATCAGCTGAAATCCTTATTGGATCTCTTGCCCAATATGAAGAGTTTCAATAAACAGTCATTTTGTTTAGCTAAGGGATGCCACAGGCAAAATGTAGGAAATTCTATAGCTTTTGCGACACAAATCACGGCATTACACAGAAGCAACGTCTTCGACCAAACAATATCACCATGACTTGACATTCGTCATGTTAAATTCTTCCGCGCGGCCATCTCATGCCGTCAGTCAAGTGACCCTTTCTTACTAAACAACTGTAAGTTCTCGTCAGAATTTCTTTACTTAATTTCGAAACTAGTTGACGAGAATAAAGACTTACATCGGCTGAATGGTACAATTTTGGTTGATAATACAATCTCCTGTTTTATTTTATTTTTTACACTGTATTATATGACAGGTATGAAAAAATTCCTTTTTGATTAATACATCTTAATAAAACCCACATGCTTTATACTACTAATGTTAATTATGTTTTCAATATACTATCGACGTCAATTAACTGATGCATTCATGAAAAACATGTCTATTCTCTGGAATGTTTTATAAATATAGAAAAGAAATGTGTTTAACTCAAAAGCCAGGTGTAGGCTTCTAATACTTCCTCCATTATCCGTGGCAACCAAACATACTGAAAACAAAACATACATGTTATGTCTTAGAACTATGGAAATAGAACTGCAAAATTAACACATCGATTAAGTAACAAACTAGAACTCATCTGCTCTTAAAGAAATGCTTTGATTGAAGTGTTAGTTCATGTCTTCTTTAACTTATTTACAAACGTCAAACAAAAGGAGATAGTGTTTGGTGAAGTAATGTTTCAGCGGCCTGCTTTGAGATCTTAAATCTTGTTATCCTAAGAAGTCCTTTATGTTGTAAAGTAGTTGTATCCGCTTTTCATGCTGCGATACACTTTTCTGTGTGTTCATTATCCGTGATATTAGAAATAAATTGTCGCCACTGGTCCTCCCGCCCGCTGTTTCTTTCTTGTCGTCACAGCGAATAAATCCAAGTTTCTGAGTCCACGTTATTCAGGTCTGAATAATTCGGAGCTCGACTAATTTCCGCACCAGTTTCCTTCTGACTTAGATCGCTTTGCTCTCCCAACAAATTTGTCTCACTTACAGCATAACGCTTCAAAACATCGCTAGAGAAAGCCGAATTAAAACTTTTCAAGCGGGGTTTCTTCCGAGGTGCCTCTTCTGGTTGTGGGTCATTCTTGACACGAGGGCATGAATTTTTCTTTGTGAGCTTTGGTTTCTCGGGAGCAGCGTGAAGGCTTTCGTCACTCTTATCGCCACTTTTGCCAAAACTTGAATTTAAGTTGAATTTCTCATCTACGTACGCACCAAAGCTCTGTGCAAGAAACTGCTGACTTGCGCGTAAAACTTCCTCAGAAAGAGCTCTCTTAGCTTTTGGAGTCCAATTTTCGCAGTTTTCAACATCACCACTGGAATGTAAACTCTCAGTTTCCAAGCTTGATGTTGACCCGTCCATGTAGGGTAGAAGCAGATGCTCTTTCCCAGCTCTAAGAATCGCTGAAGCTAAAAGGAAAACTATTCCTTCTCCTTTTGCGACATCTATAGCAAGTTGACCTTCTTGCGACATTGCTGTTACATCCACGCAAGAGTTAATTAGAAAGTTTACTACGTCGACATGTCCGCCAAAAGCTGCGTAATGCAAACAAGTCCATCCGCGCTCATCTCGCAGCTCTAACTCCGCTCCATTTTCCATCAACAACCTAGCCATTTCTAACTGACCAGAGAAGCAGCTGCGGTGCAGGACTGTGCTCCCTTTCTCGTCCTGTTCATTTATCCTCGCTTTGTGAAACTTCAATGCAAATTTGAGTTGCGCAAGGTCATTTGCCTCGATCGCTATATTGAATACTCCCGCAACACTTGTCCTCCTTTGACGATGTGCCATAGCAGGAGCCTGTGAGCTTGCATCTGTTGGTTTATTTGACGAAACATAAATGCTACATCACTTTCATCTTGTTCTGTTTAAAGAATGACACAAATGATTAACGGTGATGTAATTCTCGCTTCAACAAGCGCATTATTATGTAAATTACGAATCGGTTCAAAATATAATAAGCTTCAGTTTATTCGGATACTGTCATGAAAACTCCTTGAATACAAAGCATGGTTGATTTGTTGAGGGAGTTGATGAGTACGTTGTGTTATCTTTGGAAAATTATCCATACTTTCAGATTAGTAAAGAAGTTGGTAAGCTCGATGCAAAGCTATCAGGAAGTCAAGATGTTTAAGCAACTAAATACGATTTACTTTGGCCTTATATAATAGGCTAATTTAGCTTTTCAACTACTCCTGAGCCGAACTGAAGATCCAAATCGGAAATTTCAAACATGGCTCTCTTTGAGAAGTCACGATATATTTGATAAATATGTGTCAAACGTAGAGGATCTGTTAGATATATGGTAATTTTGTATGTCATCTTTTCTTAAAGTGGGAGGTCGCTGAAGTCGTTGAAAAGGGGGCTAAAAAGTGAAGAG